ACCACACGCAGTAATCCACACGCTGTAACCCTCAAGCTATAAACTACAAGCAGTAATTTAAACGTTGTAAATTAATCGAGCTGAGTTAACGAAAAAAGCGACAGTTACAAGGAAGAACGAGTAACCGACAAAGGTGTTGGTTCCAGAGGGGCAGAAATCTCAACTATCTACAAATGAAGTGGCTAGCAAAAAAGCAAAAATGTAGTAATTACTAGTGACTAAAATTATTTATGATCGAATCAAAATTGATACCTGATAAACTGTAAATAATTTGTTTTCTGAACGGTTTCTTGTTTTCTGAATAAAATCGTTAATTTTTATAAGTATATGATGAATCTTATTTTTTAAAGGTTACAAAAAATTCTCTTTTATTCACACTAAATTCTGTATAAGTTTTTATTAACTTCTTTTTATTAATAGAGTTTATAATTCTCACTATTACCCTAAAATTGTCTATTTGAAAAGCCGAATTCACGACAGAGAAAAGTATGGTCAATGTGCTCATTTATTTTTTTTTTATTTTTAAGGTAAGTAACATTTGCTATTAAATTTCACTGAGCTAGTAAAAATCTCTATAAGTGTTTTGAAATTACATTTATCAAAAAGGTAACAAATAATATTACAAAATGGTGGGCAAAGTGTCAAGGTAATATTGCAACAAATAGAATAAGCTAAAAATTAAAAATAGTAATATTAATTATTTTAATAATTATAATTTTGTATTGAGACTAATAAATAATACTATTGTTTGTTTAAAGTTATTATAAAGTTTTGCATAATAGAAAAGGCCGACCTTATTTTTTTATAATTGCAAGTACAAAGTATCTAACTAAAATAGTGAAAATAATAATGTTCTACCGATTTTAGTTTAATAAATTTAGTAAAAATTGTTTCTAACAAATTTATTTTACAGTTATAACCTAAGTTATGTTCACTAAAATTGGTGGAACATTGTTTTCTTCCATTGTTCAAGATAATAATTGTAATTACAAAGTATCTAAATAAAATTGTGAAAATAATAATGTTCCACCGATTTTAGTTTAATAAAATTAGTAAAATTTATTAAAATAAATTTATTTTACAGTTATAATCTAAGTTATATTCACTAAAATAGGTGGAACACTGTTTTTCTTTCATTATTCAAGTGTTATAATTGGTATGAAGTATCTAAATAAAACTACGAAAATATTAATGGTCCACTGATTTTAGTTAAATAAAATTTGTAAAACTTATTTAAAACAAATTTATTTTACAGTTATAACCTAAGTTATGTTCACTAAAGTAGGTGGAACGTTTTTTTTCAATTAATTTGTACCTAAAATATGCTAAGCTATAATTTCTGTTTCCAAATACCTGTATGAAACAAATAACAGCTTAGGTGGCTTTGGAAAAATTGTAGACACTTATTTTGCTGACAGTTTAACTCACTGACAGTGCAGAATAATAATCTATAACTTTTGGTAAAGTTTTTGCGTCATTATTAAAAAATCTTGGTAAATCGAATTACTATGGAAAAAGTTAAAAAATACACATTATGCAAACATTGTGAACAACTCTGTGCTCTCAAAGTGTATCACACGAATTTAAAATATTTGTCGTACCTCATTGATGAATGTAGTTTGGAGTGCAGTGTACAAAATCCTAAGCAAAATCTATTTAGTACAATACAGAAGAATTTACTCAATGTGTACCAAGTTTTCTCGGATTTGTAAAGTTAAGTTTAACCGAATTGTTTAAAAATATTATATTTATTTACTTAAGCATAGACATTTAGTTAATACGAGTGTCCTTTCTTACTCACCACTGAAGAAAGAAGATTTTTTAATTGATTTTGAAAAACATTTAATAGATGTAATTAATAATAAAGAAATTTAAAAAAAACCAAAAGAAGTAGTAATTGTTTAATTTTGATTTGCACAAAAAGTAAACAAAAAGTCTTATATGAATCAAGCCCATTACAAGTGTCATTATTTTGACATAAAAATGTCCACTTATTAATTTCGTCCAGGGTACCCTGGAGGATGAAAATTTCCGGAAATTTTTTGGGTTACCATGGTAACCAAACAAAAAAATTGACTCTGATTGGCTTAAAAATGGTGGTGTGAAATTTTCAGTAAAACAAAATGTGACATCAAAACTTTATTTAAAAAACAGAAATTCTCTGTACAAAATAAATACAAATAAATGAAACATTTTGTTAAAACGAGATATGGTATCCTAATATCGCATATTCGATAATAGGACACATGTAGGTGGATAATATTAGGACACCTTACCCAGTTAAAAAGAAGTCACAAACAAACATTTTCTTGTCCGAATTGGAGCATTATTCATGCCCCCATTTGTAACATTGACATCTTATCCATTTTTCACCTTTTTTATCCACTGAGTACAATCCCAAACAATACATACACTCTTGTGTTCTTATCATCGTCATTCTCAGAACTGCAATCTATGTCGGAATCATCATCCAATTCTAAATTTATGTCCGACTCACTATCATATTCCACTTCTTTAAATCTCTTAGTTTTCTTGTTCTTGGAAGGACCAGTTCTCCATTTAGATCTACTTTCTTTTTTACGGCTTTCTTCTTATTTATGTCTGATATTTTTTTAAGTCGGGTAATATCATATTGATATCCGACTCTCTCGACCCACTGTCATATTCCTCTTCTTTGAATTTCTTAGTTTTCTTGGTTTTGGAAGGACCAGGTTCTCCTTTCAGATCTACTTTCTTTTTTACGGCTTTCTTCTTGTTTATATCTGCTACACTTTTTGCTGAACCTGTCCTGGGCTTATTTGAATCAGTTTTTCGTGTTCCACTGCAAGATGGCAAAGGAGTTACCTCTTCAGGGCCTATGTAACCATTAGTGGCAAAGTAACTTCTCCGCGATGAGGATTTGTTACTTTAAAAGGGGGATTTAACCTTGTTGGTTAAATTATCTCCCAGGATTTTTTGTGAAGTGGTTCGGGCACTTAAATTTATACCTTTAATTAAACAAGGGAGTTGTCTCTCTACAGTATTTTATTATATGCAGCAAATATATGGAGTTTGTTTTTTATAAGATATTTACAATGGGATGAAGTTATGCTACAATTAATATTAGAGAATAATATATTATTTACAATAAAATCAAGCCCCGGTCTTGTGTGGAATGCATACTATACGTGAAGATTCACAACTAATCTTTTGGGCCATACAAAGTAAGTAAACCTATATTATATTTAAAAAAAGCCAGTTATTAATTTAGATAGCAATTCGTTTTATATGGATTTTATATATTTTGTAGGTTATTGAAGACTACCTCCTATTTAATAAAAAGAACAATCCTAGTTTTCTCTAAGCATTAAGGACTATGGTTATGAGTACGAAAAATGTATCGCTCATTTGTTGCAATAATGACATAAGTCAAAAATCGCTATTTTTCAGGTTAATGTATAAAAAATAACAACTTTTCATTCTCTATTTGCCTGTAGAATGTCATATCTGAATTGTCAAAACTGACTGTGAGTGGGCGGTACGTGTCACTATTGTCTTCCAAGCATCGCGCATCACTTCTGTTTCAAGAGCGTATTATTTCAGTTGGTACAAATTACTTGTCCTGGTAGCATGTTATTCGTTTTCTAAAATAGTGTTATATTTTGCTGTGTGACGTTCTTGCTGCAAAGGTAAGTTTTGTTTCAAGAATTATTTTATCTGCAATATCGTATTATTATTGGTTGTGTCTGTATTGTTAATATTTAATGTAGCTTTTATTTAAGTTGTATTATAAAATATGACGTTGCTGCTGCTAAAATATTTTTCTTTTTTGTATTTTATTTACTTATGACATTATTGATTTAAAAATAGTGATTCATTCAATTTTTCATGTAGGCATATTTTTTAAAGTGCATCTCTTAGTTTAAATATGACCTTAAAGTTAACTTGTGGTAAAGTATTATTATAATTTATGACATCATATTTGCTAAATCATAAAATCTATTTTCTCAGATGTAACTGACTGTCTATTTATAAGAATATTATTCCAGATCTTACAAAATGGTTTCCAGGGGAAAGGTAATGGTACATCTGGCAAATTTAGAATCGAGAGCTTCTGTTGGTAAAGGTAAAAAATACATTCCACATTTATTTTCTTTATTCAATACATTGGACATGAAATTTTATTTTTTAGATACTACTGTAAATGAGCCCAGTTTATTGTCGCCAAAGAGATTATTGTCGCCCATAAATGCTATTAGTCCAGGTCTTCAACCTAATGATTCACCAAATAAAATTTGGGAAAACACCTCCGAAAGTGGTAAATTAAATATCTACAATGTTTGGTGTAATCTTATTTTTAGTAAACTCCTTGTATTATACTTACTTTTGTTTTCAGCTGAACCTACGGACACAAATACAACGATGCCTGGATTTAAACAGGAATTCTCATCAATTGAATCGTCTTCTTCTAGTGAAAGTGACACCGATTCAAGTTCATCATCATCATCATCATCATCATCATCATCATCATCACCATCATCAGAGGACTGTGATGACACACTTTTTGATAAAACCTATGTCCCTCGGAGTGACAAATCTGACTCTGACAACGATGCTGAAAACAACATCAACCAAACAAATTCATTAGTGACGATTTTCAATCAAACTTTGGAGTCAACAGCATCCTCGTATTCAACTGGAAATGAAGTGAAAATTGTAGAGAGTCCAGCTAAGAAGGGTCTAAAACGGAAAAGAAACGAAAATTCATAGAAGAAATATTTTGAAAAAGGCCAGAAATAGCGGAAAAGCATACGAAACTCACACAAGTAACAAAAAAATAAGAAATGAAAAAAAATTAGGGGTTGTTTGTACAGAAACGTGTAAAATGTTCTACTAAGTTTACAGAGGAACAACGTCTGAAAATATTTTCGAATTATTGGGATTTAGGAGACATCCAAAAACAAAGGCAATTTATTTTCAACAGTATGGAGTCTGTGCAGCCAAGATACAGATATATTCGTATGGGTGGTACAAGAAATCCTAGAAAAAACAACAACGCGTTCTACTTTAAACTAGACAATATACGTGTTCGTGTCTGTAAGATATTTTTTAAAAACACGTTGGACATTAACGATCGCCCAATACGTACAGTATTAGCCAAACGAAACAAGATAGCTGACGTTTTACTTGAAGACGACCAACGTGGGAAACACGGTATGCAAAGAAAAGTTGACGAAAATATAAGAAATGGAATAGTTCAATTCATTGATAAAATCCCGAAAGTTGAAAGTCATTATACACGATCCAATACAACTAGACAATTTATAGATGGTAGTAAAACAATTTCACAACTTCACAGCGATTATGTTACAGACTGCAAAGTTAAAAATATTCCTTATGGTAATTATGAAATGTTTTATCGAATTTTTACTAACGAATTTAATCTGTCCTTTTTTACACCAAAAAAAGATTTGTGTGAAACTTGCACCTCCTGTGAAAACTCAATTGATCTCGAAAAAGTAGAACTTCAAAATAAGTACGAAACACACATACTTGAAAAAAATTTGTCAAGAGCGGAAAAACAAAAATTGTCGCTGATTACGACATGCAAGCGGTCATTCAATTGCCAAAAGGTAACGTGTCTGTATTTTATTACAAATAGAAATTAAATGCTTTTAATTCTACGATCTACAATTTACATAATAATAAGTGTGATTGTTTCGTATGGGATGAATCAAATGGTCATCGGGGTGCAAATGAGTTAGGAACCTGTGTCTTAAAATATTTGAAAACCATTAGCTCTGATACCGGCAAGGAGGTCATTTTTTATTCAGACAATTGCGCCGGTCAAAATAAAGTAAGTTTATGGTGAGATTATATCGATAACACATAAATATCTCATCACCGGCCACACACAAAATGAAGGAGATTCGGCTCACTCTCTAATAGAGAGGCAGATGAAAAGACAACTTAAAGGTGGGCCCATGTACACCCCTGAGGCATTTATCTCTGTGATCCGCTCAGCTAGAAAAACAGGAGAACCATTCAGAGTCCATGAAATGAGTTACGAAGACTTTTATGACTTAAAGTTGTTAAATTCTGACTTTGGCCCTATAACTTTAACAGAAGTCAAAATGACAGAAATAAAACTTCTTAAAGTAACCAAAGAAAAACCAAACTCAATTCTTTATAAAACTTCATTTGCAGATGACGATTACAAAGAAGCAATTGTAATCAAAAAGAAAAAACCTGTAGTTATTGAGTTTAAACCAGCCTTTATTTACAAACCAAAAATTTCTGAGAGGAAAAAGGCAGACCTAATGGATTTAATGAAAAAAAAAAAACATTCCTTCCAACTACAAATACTTTTTTGAAAATCTATAATTAAACTTAATGTCATTATTTATTATCTGCATAGAATTATTATTTATTTTCTTAAATTTAGTTTTATTGTTTAATGCGTAAGATTTTGTGTTTTCTTTTAAATAAAGCTCTTTTTATAATTCTTCAAATTGTTTTATTTTTTGCTTATTATATTCAGATTTCTTAAAGAATGACATAAAAAGAAATGACATAAAATAATCTTTTTATATTCTGCAACAGCGTCATATGTTTATTAGATACAATATTAATTATAAAATTGTTAACAAGAATGGCATAACTCAAAACAAATTTTCTTTTTACCACTTTATGTTCACTACTAGGCATTCAATTGTCTCCTTAAGTGCACACTATCATGCCAAAAACCCCAATTTATCTAAGTACACCTTAAAAAAATTATATTATCAATACAAAGTAAAAATAGAAAACTTTGAAAATTAAAACTCTGTTTTCTAGAGAACTACGAATTTCCAGTTAATTCGTTATTGCAGCAAATGAGCGATATGAAAATCAATAATAAAGTGGTATATCTTGTATTGCTACTACTTAGCTGCGTTCCAGTGGACTTCGGAGACTAGTCCTGGGTAACACAGTACAATTTTAAGTGTTGATACAATGATGCTGATACAACTTAGTGTTTCAACACTTTGTATCAGCACAATTGTGTTACAACACATCCGTGACGTTTATGTATTGCAAAACGCATACCTAACTCATAAAACTAAAACTTAAAACAAATATCTTTCTGTTCTGTTGTCTCACGCTTGTGTCAGTACTCACACTGTACGTGTTTTGTGCTCACACTACTTGGTCATAGTGTCAGCAAAATTAATTGTGACAAACCGAAGCGAAACACCATATCAATAGTATTACAATAAATTATTAAACAATGCAGAATGTGTTGATTGCTTAATTTGTCCAAACTAGTATAATTTTGTAAAATTATATTTTGAATTTATACACAATTTAATATATTATGAATTTATAAATGTTTAGATACAATTCAAGCTTAAATATCTTATATTCATCTATATTTAACGCCTAAAATATTAAATAATAGTGAATTAAAAACATAATGAAAATTGAATTGGTTATTCATGTAATAAATCTACAAATCAGTTATTTTTTTATGCCACCCTCGCCCTCGTCCGGCAATAATTCGTAAACCAGAGAGAGAACTTAAGAAGAAAACTATGTCATTAGGCTACTAATATTCGCTAAAGTTAAATGACGACACCTCATAACAACTAACAACAGACGAACACTTTTAAATGATGATGAGCTAGTAGGGGATTCCTGTAGTCAGCAGTTTTTTTTCTTTGTTCTAATATTACGTTTGTAAAAAAATTGTGTTGATGTGTTATTGTTTGTTGTGAATAGAAGGATTTATATTGTTTGATAAATAGTCTCCAAAGTTATTTTTTATTTGAGTTTCTCCATATTTTTAATTATTCCTAATCAGAACTTTGTTCAGTTATTTGTTATTTTTTGTTATTTGTTGGTTTGCTGATTAAATGGCTCCCAAAAAAAGCGAGGTTTGGAATCATTTTTCCGAAGTGTCAGAGGGAAAAGTGAAATGTGTATACTGTGGACAAATTTTATCATTTAAAAATAATTCTACATCTACATTAATCCGACATATGAAAACAAAACATCCCGTCCAAATAATAAGTAGACAAACAATAGAACAGGAAGTTGAACATGAGAATATTGAATCACTGCCATACACATCTAAATCCCAAGAAACTACTCCGCCTAATCCGTCAACGTCTACAGCCAGAATAACTACAGCCACAACGAGAGAAATTAAAATTAAAAACAAAAATCAACCCATTTCTGGATTTTTTCAAAGACCTCTCTCCATTACCAAACAAAAAGGAATAGATAAACAGTTAATTTCCATGATAACCAAAGAATATCATCCATTTAGCATAGTAGAAGACAAGGAATTCAAAAAATTACTTTTTCTATTAAATCCAAGTTATAAAATTCCCATTCGTAAGACAGTTTCAAACTCATTAATTCCATCAATGTACAATCAAACAGCCGACATTGTTAGAAGCCGTTTAGAAAGGACATTCGCAGTATGCCTGACAACTGATGGTTGGACATCAAGAACAAATGACAGCTTCTACAGTGTGACTGCCCATTACATCGTAGAAGAAGATAAAAAAACTTATTTATCTTCAGATTTATTAGGATGTATATCCTACACGGACAGACACACTGGAGAAAACATTTGTAACAAACTTAAAGACACCATTCATGAGTGGAAATTGGATAATAAAATAGCTGCTATAGTTTCGGATAATGCAGCTAATATGAAAGCAGCAGTTCTGCTCATCTTCTAAATCTCACAACCCAGTCAGGTTTAAAAGAAATATCAAATGTTTTAGAAAAAATAAAAAGCATCGTACGTTATTTCCGAAGAAGTTCTGTTGCTTATTCTCAACTAAAAGCTGCAGCGGAGCGAATGGACCTGCCGCCATTAAAATTAAAAAACGATGTAGTTACTCGTTGGAATTCAACATTTGATATGATTCAGAGGGTACTAAAAATGAAAAACGCAATAATTTCGACTTTAGCTATTTTAAGTACATCACAAAAAAACCAAAATGAATCTGAATCCGGCGAGAGCATTTCTTCTTTGCAGAATAAAGAGTGGATTATCGCTGAGCAGTCAGTGAAAGTGCTTGAAATTTTCAATGTAGTGACAACTGCTATAAGTGCAGAACAAAATGTTAGTGCTTCCACTATTATTTTTTATTATAAACAAATCGTAAGACATTTAAATTATTTTGATTTAAGTACTGTTATGCCTGAAATTGAGAATATGATTAACTGCAAAGTGAATTAAAAAAACGGTTTCAGGATATTGAAGACAATCAGTTAATCGCCCAAGCAACTATTTTAGACCCAAGAGTCAAACAATTTGGCTTTATTGATCAGACAAAATATAAACGTGCCATAGAAAATTTATACACAAAAGTGGCTAACACAAAATTATTGGATCTAGACGAAAGGGAAACTACAAACAGTCAAGAAAACGATGTTGAAGAAGAAAAGCAAGATATTGAGCCACAAAAAAATGATCCGTTAAAAGACCTCTGGATGGAATTTGATAAGGAAGTCCAACAACATTTAAAACCCACTAACCCAAAGGCTTCAGCTATTGTTGAAGTAGATCGGTACATAGATGAACCTATTTTACCTCGCAAGAATGCCTTAGGGTTGAACCAAGATCCTCTTGCCTGGTGGCACCAAAGAAGGCACATCTATCCTAAATTATTTCAGATTATGAAGACCAGACTTTGTATTATGGCAACATCTGTACCATGCGAATGGATATTTTCCAAAGCTGGACAAATTATAAACGAAAAACGAGAGAGTTTAAAGACTGAAAAAGCATCTTAAATAATTTTTTAAGCTATAATCTAAATAATACTGACTAGTTTATTGCCATTTTAAATGATAAGAATTTTTTTTCAGAATTTTTAATATTTAGCTTAAAGCATTATGTTTAAAGAACTTTTTTTTTTTAAGTATTTTGAAACCAAATTTATTTGTTCTTGTTATGTACCTGTTCTCAATTTTATTAAAATTATGTTTTAAATTTAGATCCATTTTAATATTATTATGTACCCATACTCACACACAACCCATATTACATTAATCCAAACATAGGTGCAGTGTGGGTTGCACAATTAAGGGGCCTGGTCTTTTCAGCAGCGGACGGACGCTGGGTTTTACTTTATTAAAAAATCACACATATAAAGACTGCCATGTAGGTAACACACTCTTAGTGCCAGATGTGACTAAGTTTTGAAACTGACAAAATGTCCACAACACGTTTTACCCACCTTGGTTTTATCAAGTGTCAAGTGTCAGTGCATCTCATTGTTCTGTTTCAACACATCTGACACAGCGCAAAGTATCAGCACAATGGTGTGATACAACACAGTGGCCGTGTTCATCGTCGTCAAACATGTTTTAAAAGCAAAGAAACATGTTTCATAAGCGGTTGGAATGACGCTGAACGATCATTTTTGTTTACGATTTGTTTTCTCAACCTCAAATCTGTCAAAAAATGGAATAACATTTGGTTGGCACAAAGAAGGTTATGTGAATTGTTTACTTTAGTATTTTTTAAAAAAATTTGAGTTTAATTGATTTGTACAGTGAATTAGAGTTTATATAAGTACCCTTCTGAAAGTGGTTTTGACAATTTTACGGCGAAAAACCTACAACTTGTATTATTTTGGGTTGTAAAGTCATGATGTTTTTATTGCCTCTATGGATCTTGAATTCTACATACTTAGACTAATCAAAGAAATTGTAATAGTCATTTTATTACAGGTAAAATACATTTTTTTGACACACAAATAAAAACATACTGTAACTAGATCATACTTTGAAGAGCAGAATGAGAATGCTATTTATTGTGTATTGTGTTTAATCAACTGTCTGGTCTGCACCAATAAATTAAAGTAAAGGAACTCATGATACTAATAACATACATCTCAAAAAGTGATCTTTTTACATATACCAAGGATACATAAAAGTGTATAATAATAGAGACATCAAGTATGACTTTCTTATTTTTAGGGAAACAGAGTTCCTTCGAAGTTAGTAATCATTTAAACTGGACTCCAGCCCAGAACTTGAGGCATGTGTCTCAAACCAGTCAGGCAGCAGTCTCACTTAATCGTTTACGTGCATGCACGTTCGTTAACGTTTCTATTGGGTGTCGTTAAAAAAACGGTAACGGTCTCACTTAATCGTTCGTTAGCGTATTTCTTCTAGAATGACGTTGACTTAAGACATCTATCACAGAGAATGAAGAATATTATAACCTTTTTGTTCTCTTGTTTATTTAATTATATTTATTATGTTTATGGAGGATTGAGGGTACTGTATAATAGTGTATAATTTATTATGGATTCTCGCACTAGTTCTGAGGAGGAAATGATTTCTTTTTATTTAAGACGCAAAC